GTTCAGATGGTGAGAATCTCCTCTTGTGGTTGAGGGTGTGTGCTTCTCAGCCCAGTGCTCCATCTGGGGTAGGTTCCCAGGAAATTGGTGTTAAATGAGTTTGTCATGGACTCAGAGCTTCTCAGGGCAGAACAGGCCCCAGAGGCCATGGAGTCCAGCCTGACTCGAGTTGGATTCCACACCATGACATCCCAGACAGTGGTCATCCCGGGACCAGAAGCTTCCCACCTCCTGGGAAGGCCCACTCCACTACTGGGCAGTTCTAATGGTGGCGTCCTGAAATCTTCTTCCCGGTAACTTCTGCCCTGGGGGGGCGGGGGGGTGCACAGAGAGAGGGGTGGGGAGTTTGCTTCCTCTTCCCCAAAGGAATCTTGGAGATTTTCAGAGATGTATCATTCCCCGCTTCCAGGGTTAAGGTGTCAGGGAAGCAGTTGTTGTAATTTTGAGTAGCTGTCAGGTGGTACTTGGGTTGCCTTTTGAAGGCCCTCTGGCTGCTGGAGCCTCTGTCCCCCCAGGTGTGACTGCTCCCCTGCAGGCAAGTTGTGACTGCTCCCCTACAGGCAGATCCCCAGGCTCCTGAGGGAGACCAAGGTGGTAGTTTATCAGTCCTAGTTCAGGATCCCAGGCAACTCTCCTCAGCTGAGTGTTGTGTTTTCTGTCCCCCGGACCCACTGACTACCCAGATGAAGCAGAGATAAGGCACAGACATACAGGAATGGCCCATTACTGGGAACCACCCAGGGCATGGCAGGAATTCTGCGGACAGAGGAATGTATCCTCCGTTTTCTCCTCCCTCATCTCCCCATGCTTTGTACTGCCCCTTCAACCCATGAGGCAGTGGAACAAAGCCTGGATCAAGCCAGCTCTAAAATTCCCACCTCCACATTTCTAACAGGTAAGTGAGAAAACGTGTGGACCTCTCGGGCTGCCCAGAGTGCACAAACATGAGCTCCCCCACCCCCACCTCTGTTCTCAGCCATTTTGGAGGGATGTGAAGGTAAAACGCCCTGACTTCCCTTGGGAAAAGGAGCTGAATGTGAGTATAGGAGCCAAGGCAGGCCAGGGTGGGTTTTGGGGGACAAACTGTCAATTTCCTGTGAGCTCCCAGGGAGATCAAAGATGTTTACAGGGAGTTCTCAGGTCCGGAGAGGCCAAGAAGGCTGTAAATGGCAATCAGTGACCTCACCCCAGCTACTGTTTGACCCCCTGATCACATGGCTGCTTAACAGGGTCACAGCCGGCCCGGGCACTGGAGACCTGCAGGCATCAGGCCTTCTTTGGAAGTTCTTTACACCCGGATTCTCCCTAGACCCTTAAATTTACGTTTTTACTGGAATTGGCTCATGGAATGTGCGCTCCGTGCAGGCCCGTTCCCCAGCTTCTTCCACCACCGGCCACACAGTTGCAATCAGCCAGTCTCGGTCTTGGCATCCAAGAACAGCGGCCATCCCTACAACCAAGGGAGTTCCTTCCCGCACATTAACTTGCGGTGCACCCCTGAGCCCTGTTTCACAGCAGTCGATAAGAGCCGGGAAAGAACTGCTTAAGCCTGTAATCCTCCCAGTGAAAGAGCGGGAGGGGCAGGCAGTGGAGCCAGGGGTGAGGGTCCCCAGGAGGCCCATCCCTGCCTTCCAGCAGATGTCTCATGCTTCCTAGAAGCAGGAGTGGGGGACAGAATGCTTGCAAATAGCGAGCATAGGCAGAGACGCAAGTGAGTGGACAGGCAACAGCGCCCAGGAGAGAAAGGCCTTGATTCTGCCCCGAGGCCAGAGGTGCAGTATGGGAGGCTTCGTGAAGGAAGTGCCATCCCAGCTCGATTGGTCGTTTCTCCATCAGTCCAAACATTAGATTCTGAATTCCGCGATGGACCACCCTTCCTTTGGAACTGGCCAAACAAGCACCGCTCCCCCAATCCTGGGCACCTACTATGGTCGCATAATCGTGAAGTAGAACTGACCGTTCTTATCTGGGGGTGGGGGTGGGGGTGGCTTAAGAGTCCAGTTATCTTATTGAAGCAGATCTCCCTGTCTTTTGTGGTTGCTGAGCTAAAGGCATTCCGGCTAACATTCTATCGCTCCACGTTTTTCCAAGCTCCCTGTCTGGCCCATCCTTAATGGGATGGGACTGTCCCACAAGGTACAGCCATCCCGGTAGAGTTTGGACAGAGTTGGAGCAAGGCAGAGGGTCCTCACGACCCCCACCCCCACCCCAGGGCCCAGCGCTCACACGGGTGTGTGTTGTCACAGGAGCCCCTACATGCTCACACCACCGGCTGCTCGTCCCCCCACCCCCACCCCACCCCAACCCCGCCCTCCCCACCTGCTGCGGAGAGCCAGGCCTCATGGTTCCCCAGTGTGGATTCTGCCCTGTCCACCCAACCAAGTGCTAAATAGTTTCTGAGTGAGCCTCCAGAGTGCCTGGAAGTTACTGTCATTAGCAAAAATCTGTGTTTTCATCTCTCCTGGTGACCGACAGAGAAAGAATCCTCAGATCTCCGAAGAGAGGGTTGGGAATTGAGCCGCCACCATAAACAGCTGACATAACAGAAACAGCAATGATCCCCCATTAAGTGCCTCTCAGCCGCTGGGGCTCCCGGGATAATTGACTTTCCAGCAGGAATTACTGGCTCAGACAAAATCACTGGGCATTAGGGCAGCCGACTGCAGCCTTTTGAGAGGGCACTGGAACTGCGTGGCTTTGCTGCCCTGACAGGCGTAATTCATCCTGATTATTCATTGTGTTAGTTGTCTCCAGATGACCCCAGTGACTGTAATTACAATGTGGGGCGAGTTTTCCTCGGGTTTTTTACACTGGTCCACCTGCTTGATGATGGGCTTCCCGGAGCTGGGGCACCACGGGGAGGTTTAGAGGTTTCTAACACCGTCTCCCTCGGCAGGGGAGGAGTGTGCAGTCAGATGGCTTCTCCTGAGTGCTTCCTTGTGCACACTTCAACAGATAAGGCGGGGGCAGGGGACAGTTTGGGGAAGCTGTTTCCTCTCATCAGTTTCTTCTTGGTTGTACTCAGCTCGCTTTGTGCCGAACGCTGCTCCCCATCTCGGGGGGGCCCTGAAATGGGGAATGGCCCCCAAATAGAATTGAGTAATGTTCCCACCCATTCCCTACCCACCGACCTTCCGCTACAGACCGGCTTTGTTAAAGGAGGGGTGGAATTCGACAAGCTCTCACGTTTTTAAAATGAGCTCCCCATGTAGTTCAAAGAAAGTTCTTCTAAGAAACCACTGCTCCTCCTCCCTAGCTGCCCCCAGTCACCAGTTACACGCCCCAGCCCGTTGGGTGGCATGGGAGTGAGTGTGCATGCACGGGGAGAGGGTGGGCCAGTCTGTGCCCATTCTCATCCTCTGGGTGAAGAGCACGCTGTGCTTGACACTAGCAGGCCAGCTTCCCGACCCTCCTGAGGGATCTGTGTGTTTGCATCTCTCGGGGGACTGTTGCATATAACCAGTTGATGCCTTTAACAAGAACTAAGTCACTCATTGAGGTCTCTTTCCAGCAGGGAGTGTGTTATGTGCCCAGGGAGCTTCTCTGCTCCAAAGGCGCGCGCCTACATTATGGTGGGGATGGCGAGCCACTGCAGAATGACCTGTTAGACTCTAAAACAGAACTGGACCGGGACTGCTTCTGTCATCCTGAGTGTAGCCGTGAGCGAAGGAAGGCTTCCTGGAGAACAGCGGTTCTCAACCTGTGGGTCGCAACCCCTTTGGGGGTCAAATGGCCCTTTAACGGGGTCGCCCAATTCATAACAGTAGCAGAATGACAGTGATGAAGTAGCAACAAAAACAGCTTTATGGTTGGGGGGGGGTCACCACATGAGGGACTACGAAAGGGCTGAAGCATGAAGAAGGTTGAGAACCGCTGCTGTAGAAGATGGTGCCGGGCTTGGGCCTTAGGGAGGCGTGAGAGTTCCCCAGCTGAAGAAGGGTAAGCGGGTTTCCAGAGTGTGAACAAAGGCCTTCTGGCCAGTTCCCCCTGTTTGTTTGAATGGTGTTGGCTTTACCTAGTCAATTAATGCTGGGTTTTTATAGTTTGTCTAATGAAAATTAGCACTCACCCCAGAGCTGTCATGCCCAGTACCATGGGAACAGTCTCAAATCGGGGGACCCTCAGATCACTAGGGAGTTCTGAGCACTTACGGAGTCTCATAAGGAACCTGGTGGCACAGCGGGCTAAGCATGGAGCTGCTAACAAAGTTGGCTGTTCGAACCCACCAGCTGCTCCGTGGGCAAAAGGTGAGGCTTTCTACTCCCACAAAGATATAGAGCTTCATGATATGAAAATAACAATTTATAATTTGTCAAGGGGTCACGAGGAGGAGGGGAGGGAGGAGGAAAGTAAAAAAGCAGCTGATACCAGGGGCTCAAATAGAAAGTAAATGTTTAGAAAATAATGATGGCAACTTATGTACAAATACACTTGATACAATTGATGTAAGGGTTATTATAAAAGCTGTAAGAGCCCTCAATAAAATGATCTTTAAAAATAATAATTAAAAATTTAAAAGTAAATACAGCTTCAGAAACCCACAAAGGCAGTTCTACTCTGTCTTACGGGGTCTCTTTGTTTGACAGTGAGTTTGGATTTGGGCTTGAGTGAGGGCTTCTCGTGGCTGAGACTGGAGCTTGGGGTCTCTGCCCTCCCCCTGTCCCTTCATCACTCACTTAGGGGGTGATGTGAGAAGCCAGCCTGGCTTTTATACTTGCACAACCTGCCCCCAAAGAAGTGGCATCCCTCAGTGATGACATCAGAAAGGCCCGCTAGGGACAAGCAAATCATCAGGACAGTTGGGTCCTCAGGCCCCCACCTCCTACAGTGGGATAGCTCCTCCACCTTCCTGTGGAGCCAGCCCTGGAAACCAACGCCCCTGTAAGGCTGGCAGAGGTGCTTCTCGGAGTCGTCTTCCACGGGGGAGCCGGTCCCTCTAAATGCCAGCTGTCACTCTCTTCCCCCCACCTCACTCTGCTTTCTCTCATGTTCCCTTTCAGAACGGCGCCATGGCCTGGAGCGATGATGGGGATGGAGGCCGGGGAAGAGAGATCTCTCGAGATTTTGCCAAGGTGTGTAATGTTCCCTTTGGTTCAAGGAAGCAGCCGTTCTGCTGTGGGCTGCGGTGGCTGACCCCAGAGGGATAAGGACCAGAGTGGCCCCTGAGTCACACTGGTGATCATTCGGAGGGCTGCAGTCGAGATGAATTGCTGACTGTGTGTTCTCTGGCGGTGGGGATTGCAGCTGTACGAACTGGACGGTGATCCCGAGAGGAAGGCATTCCTGGATGACCTCTTCGTCTTCATGCAGAAGAGGGGTGAGTATGCAGTAGCCATTGATTGAACGCCTCCTGCACGCAGTCACCGTCAGCATCCTTCCTTCCTCCTGAGGGCCAGCGCCTTTGGCTGAGGAGAGGCATTTGTTGCTGGTTGGCCCTGGATGTAGCCAAGTAATTGACAGCAAGACTGCAGAGGGAAGGGAAGGGTCTTGGCAGAAAGTGAATGGGATGGTGAGCCACAGTTGGCCCGGCCTGGTTTTTTCCTCTCTTCCTCCAATAACGGGTCCCTGGTAACTGCTGAACATCATGTACACTAGCCTGTGGGGCCTTCCTGTGCACACAGCTCTGTGGACCCCGAGCAAGGTGAATGAAAAAAAGTGCGCTGCTAAGGGCTGGCTGACTAGCTGAGAGGTGGGCAGCTCAGCCCACCCCAAGGTACCTTGGGAGGACAGGGCTAGTCATGTGCTTCCCCCAGGTCCCTCAGCCTTGACACTCCTCCCATGAAGCCGTTCACCTGTGCACACCTCGGGTGGCCGAGGGTCAGGCCCCACTGGGCAGCAGCCAACAAGAATGGTGATGGGCTTGTTGGGAGGATCAGAAGGGATTCGTGGAAAGGAAAAGCCGATTCTCTTTCTCCTGGCCCTGCACTCTGACTCGGCTGAGCTTTATCCAGAGACGCCTCATAGCAACCCTTTAGCACAGGGTAGAACTGCCCCTGAGGGCTTCCAAGGCTGTCACCCTTTATGGGAGCCAAAAGCCCCTCTTTCTCCTGCTGAGCAGCCCAGCACATAACCATGGGGGCCACCAGGGTTCTGTGAGTGCTTAGGTGTCTGCCCTACAACGCACCCCCCTCCCCCATTGTCTGTCCTTCCATCCCCCGACCATATCTCTTCTCCACCCTGGACCACAGCAACCTCGAGCTTTGAGCCCTGGTTTTGTATCCTGCCACCAGCCCGCTCAGCCCTCCGCTATCTGGGAAAAGGTCTTTGGCAACTTGCACAGCTCCACCTTCACCACCTCAGGGCAAAGCCACTGCTTCCCACCACGCTCTTCCTCGGGCTCCCGACCCTGGGGTGTCTCCATCGGACCCAGCAGTGACATTCTTCTCTTTCCCTAGGCTGCGCTGTCAGGGCGACCCCCAGCAGCATAATATCCCAAGTCCCCTTCCCCCGTCTGTCTATCAGCCAACCTCCCTCCAGCCCATTTACCGTCCAAAGCCTTATTGCCTTAGCAGTGGTGTGCCCACAGCTCCTGGTGCGCTTTATAAGTCAATGGAAAGTTTTGCCTCCCATTTCTCCTGATCTCCCAGCCTATCAAAGCAGTCTAACCAGGTCCTAATTAGTTGACTCCTCTAACTGTTAGTTGGAGCTGCGTGTGTCAGTGAAAACCCAGGAATATAATCTTCCCGACAGATATACTGTGACGGGCAGCAGCGAAACTCCCTGGTCGCCTTGAGAGAGAGAAATCCACTTAATACTTTGGTCTCCCCTTCCAATTACCTTTTAATTATTTACAAGCTTCCCAAGCCCAGCTGGTGCAGACCCAGGTGCTGATCCTGTCTCGGAGGGGCTGCTGTCGCAACATAGATTTTAATCAGCAGGGCAGTTCCACTGCATTATTTTCTGCTTTATTGCTTCTCTCCCTCCCCAGAAGGATTTTTAAAAAGAATTGTCGGTCTGGCCAGGGGGGCGATGGATAATCGTTTGTTTACTGTTGTCTGCCCCCACTAGACTTGGAGCCCCTCCAGGACAGCCGCTTTGTCATTCCTGTGAGTTCCCAGGGCTAATGCTGGGGTCGGGACTGGAGCTGCTTGGGGCGTGTTGGCTCCCCTGACCCGCCTGCCACACTGGGAGCTGTGTGGCGTCTGCCTCCCTGGCCCCAGCAGCTACTCCTGACGGAAGGTCGGTGGCAATAAGCAGTCGGTTGAATCCTCTGCTGTTGGGCAGCAAGGGGCAAGGCCAGGGTACAGCTGCAAATTCCCAAGAGCACCCGAAGCAGAAGCAGGCAGCCTTTGTCCCTGTCTTCAGCTCCTCATGCCCCCCACCCCCAGCCATTTGCGTTCACCTGGCTTTCTGTGGGGGTCCTGGTCTGGGCACTGGGAGATCTAGCAGCATCCCTGGCCTCTGCCGACTAGATCCCAGGGCCACCCTGCAGGTCTGACCCCAGAATGTCTCCAGAAACGTGTCCGTGTCCCTGGGGCAGCATCGCAGCAGCTGGAACAGGACAAATAAGAGAGTCAAGTTAAAATTCCCTCTGCAGAAAAACTCTGTATGGAAACAGTCAGGCCTCCACTCAGGTAGCCATTGCTGAGGGCGGGGCCTGTGTCAGGTGACTGGTCGCCACAGGAGCGGGGTGGTGGGGGCTGGAGCTCAGGGACAGCCCCTGTGAGCAAGTGCAGCTGCAGCCTGTCTGAGCCACAGGCGTGTCTCAAGTGGAAACTGAAATGCTGCCATAGCTGGCTCCAGTGTGGCAGGGAGGACCTGCATGGGTGTCCTGGCTGGGTCAGCTGGCACCACCCCGTGAAGAGCAGTGTTTGACCAAGAAGTTTGCACATCGGTGTGTCGACAGAGCTGAGTTATTGAAGCTCGCTTGTCAGTGGTGTGTAGTTGGGGAGGGGAGGCAGACAGTGAGGGGCCATTCCCTGCAAGTTCCACGTCGTCAAACTCTCAGAGAAATGTGAGTTAGAGTGGGGAGCACTGGGCTTTTAACCACGAGAGGCAGGTGCCTGCCTGTGCTCTTCCCATCGCGGTGAAGCCAAAACCTTGGGACATTTGTGGCTCACGTATCGCTCCAAATCTGAGGGTCGACCTGTCCGCTGGGACCGAGGAAAAGCCTCACGAGCCTCAGCTTCCAGAGCTAATGAACGTTCAACAGTAGATCCCACCGGAGCCACCAAAAGGGGCCTGAGTGTGCCGGGCTGGGTGTGGCCCACACAGCAGGCCCTCAGCAGAGGAAGTGGATGGCCCATGGGGGAGGTGGCTCCCAGCAGGCTGCTGCAATGACTTCAGCTACAGGTGATAAAAACTGATCAGTGGGAAGCCGGGGTTACAGCCAAGCTGTTACTGCGGCTTTGTGCGCTGTCTCTCACTTGTTAACAGTGTCTCTCACTTGTTAATGTGTTTGGGTGAATTGACAGCAACAGATGGGCCTTTCAGCCCACAGTACCCTGGTTTCTGGGCTAGACAGGCTGCTTGCCCCCTGGTGACCCTTGCCCCACTCACTGCTGGGCAGCCTGCCAGCAGGAGTCAAAGAGTCGGCCGGGTGCACATCTGTCTGTCTGCCTGTCGGCTCCTGCTGCTGCAGGGGGCCAGGGAGGACACGAGCTCTGGATTGAGACGAGCTCTGGATTGAGACGTGCAAAGTCAGGGCGAACCAAACCCCCCTTTTCCAGTTTCCTTATTCACACAAGGAGGGGGTTCTGGCCAGAGGCCTCCACGGGCTGTGGCCGGTATGTTGTGCCCATGATTGTTGTCTGGTGAGCTCCCCTGGTGGCCAGAAGAGAAGGAAAAGCCCCTTTGTAGCAGTTTTCTGTCGAAATAATCGCCTGTGGAACAAATACACCACGGGACACACACACTACCACCACCACCACCCCCGACCAAATGCTCCCCCTGCAGAATTGGAGCCAAATTGAATTAAACAAATCCCTCTGGGTTCTGTTTTCCTACAAAACGTCTCTGGCCAGGATTGGTTGAGTTTCAGAATTGTGACACCATTTCTCTCTCTTCGCTCTGTGTGTGTGTAAGACTAATTCCTTTGGCAGTATTAAGTCCATTCCATGCCCTATAATCCTCTCTGGCTGATGGAACACTGGCGGTATTTCCCTGGTAGGTTTTCCATGGAGTCTCCCAGTGCCCAAGATGGGAGTTAGTTTGGAAGTCTGCTAGGCAGTGGGCTCTATAGAAGTGATCCCAGTCTTCCTCACCACTGAGGAACAGTGTGTGTCTTGGGAGGTGAGACAGGGTGAGTTCATCCAAGGGCATGGTGGTTTTGCCCTTTGGTTTCAGTCATGACCCATAGCCTGCTGCTCCCCACAGCCCGCCCTCGGTGACCAGAGCAGAGGTCCCCTGGCACCAGGAATCACAGAGCAGGGTTAGAACCTGGCACTGCGGGTTAAACACTGTGCACTGCTAACCCAAAGGGTGACTGTTGCAACCTGCCTGCTGCCTGGGAAACCCAGCGGAGCAGTTCTGCTCCGCTCTGTCCGGTTGCCGTCAGTCAGCACCGACAGTGGGGCTGTGGGGATTCTAACTCCTAGGCCAGTGCACCTTCCCCGCCATCAGTAGCACTTTTGAGAAACATAGCCCATAGCACTAACAACCCTGTCCCGTCCTTCCCTTGGGGCAGTGTGCCGGCCCCAGTGTTTTTCAGCCAACGAGGGGAGAGCTGACCTGCCTCCCCAGGCCACTGTGGGGTTTGAGGCTCTGACAGCATCTCACTAGGCATGAACTAGGTAGAACTTTGTATCCAGGTAAGTTCTGTGTCTCAGGGAAAGGCAGGGACAATGAGCTCACAGAGGCTGCCAATGGGCAGGGCGGGGGTGGGGCATGCTGGCAATGAGCATCCACGATGCCCACAAGCCAGGCTCTCCTTAGCAGCCCCACCCATCATAAAACACCCCCCCAAAAAACACACACAGCAACAACAGATTGACTGCGCTCGAGTCGATGCCCACTCCAACAACCCTGTGGGACAGGGTAGCGCTGCCCTGGGAGTTTGCATGTGGAGAAAGCCTTGTATTTCTCCCGAGGAATGGCTAGTGGTTTCCAGCTGCTGACCTTGTGGACAGGAGCCCAGCGCGTGCCCACTGAGGGCTCCTTCCATCTCACACACCAGGCTGCAAGGTCAAGGGGCTACTCGCTCTGCACATGAAGACAGATTTGTCAAAGGCCTCACTCAGAGCTCCCCATCCTCCCCCACTGTTTTGTCCAGGGCTGCAAACTGCCATTGGCTGTCCCAAGTGCTTCGTGGGGATCCACGGTGGGACGGGCTAGGCCTGCCTCACAGTGCAGTGTCTGTGTCTTTCCGTCCGTCTGTCT